TATGTTATTTTTTGGTAACTGGCTTGTGCAATTCTTGAGCACAAATTTTGTAGATGATAGAGTCATGTCACAGTATCAGAAGACTGGAAATGCCTGAGACGTTCATTTACTCCAGTTTCCACTTTCCCTTGTTCTTTTGCCCATATCCTGGCTCCACCACTACCTAAATACAGCACCAGAAACACAACAGTTCTATCCTGGTTTTCAGTCTAACAGTTCAGTACCCCCTCGATGCTCCAGTCTATTTTCGGCCCAACAGTCTTTTGTAAACTGCAAGGTGTACTATGAATCAAAGCATACTACTTTTTACTTACAGATATTTAACCTTGCACAATCAGAAACACACACATCAACAGAATATAACGGAGAAATTCGTTCCTGCCTCTTTTCTTGAGTTTTTTTTCCCTAGCTGGCTCTCTCTCTAACACTACTTCTCCCATAACGATGGATATGAATAGCCATGGAGATAATCACTTCAAAAGATATTACTATAACTATAAACAGTCCCTTCAAGGTGGGTATGCAACGTAATGGTAGGCCACTGGCCTAGCATGTGCAAGGCACTGGGCTCAATTTCAAGTAACACTTCCCAAAAAAAGGAGGAGGAGGAGGAGGAAAGAAAAACCATGATCTTCTGAAGAGTACAGATGAGTTACTTTTAAGCCAGGCACGATATTGACCGCTGAAATCCAATCCCCTTTAATGAAAGAGGCAGGAAGGACTCAGAGTTAAAGCTACCCAGTGAGTTTCAGGGCCACCTGGGTTACATAAGTCTAAGTTAAAAAAAATAATTTCTAGCTCCAAAAATTCTTCAACCCTAGAGGGACCTTCTACTGATAACGGATTGATTCCCCTTTTCACCAGCGCTTAGCCTGCCAGCCCACCCAGTGCCGTCTTTCCACTGCCTCTCGGTGTCCCTCTGTGCAATCGCTTCTGGTTCCAGTTACTCTTCCGTCACCATGCCTACCTGGAAATACCCTTCCCAGTCATCTCTGCTCCTCCACCTCGGTAGGTGAACGTGGCAGGAGGAAAAAACGCCTGTTCTCAGAGGCCTCAAGGAATACCTCTCATTTCTGAAAGTCAGACGCTCCCTCCTGCTAAGCTATTGAGTCCGTCCCCCTCCCCAGTACCGGAGATTGAATTCAGGGCCTTGATCATGCTAGGTAAGAACTCTTATCACTGAGCTATCTCGCCAGCCCTTTTCACTTTTCACTTTGAGACACCATTGCTAAGTTATGCGGGTTGGCTTTGAACTCATTCTATAGCCCACGCAAGCCTTTAATTTTCAATCCTCCTGTCTCGGGTCTCCAAAGTAGCTGAGATTACTAGACTGTGCCACCGGGTCCAGCTGCTTAATTTTAAATTAAGGTATATTTAAAAATCAGTGCCCTCGGAGACCTTAAACACATTCACAGTGAGGTGCCCGATGTTGGTTGTTGAAACGTTTACATACTTTTTTCTACCTCTATTTTTATTTGAAGCACGATGAAATTCCGTATTCGGAATTCAAGTAGTCCGTGTCAAGTGAAGACTAGCGAGAAAAGCAAATGATTCTCCAGGAAATCCGTGCCTCAAGCGAGGGAAAGGCGGCTTTCCGAAAAGGAGGTTTCCCTTCCCGGCGACAGGCAGCATGTGGAGAGCCCAGAATACCCAAACAGCCGGGTTCCAGGGCCCGAACCTGGGGACGCTCTTCCCGCCCAAACTCACCGCCATGGTGCCGCCCAAATCACTCAAGATCCAGCACAGTGGTCCCGGTGATACCCTCAGAGAAGTGGCTCCAACTTTTCCCTCCCACTCGGGGAAGCCTAGCCTCCCAGGACACTAGAGCACACACTTCACACTTGCTGAGGCAATCTCACAGCTCAGAGACTACAACCGGGGGCATCTCGCGGACAGCAGGGAGTTGTAGTTCCCAGACCACGAGCACTAAGAGCCAACCGGCATCTGTGAACTACAATTCCCAGAAGACAACAGGATACCGGAAATTGGTCGTAGCCATAGGCCCACTCCCAGGTGACACCGGCAGTGATGTCACCCGCACGTTGAACTACAAGATCCGTGATGCAGTTCAAGATGATGGACTGCCGCAAGTGAGTACTAAAGGAGGTGGAATTAGGAACGTGAACCTTCTCACCCCGTGGAGCTGTCTGTCTGTCAGGATGCCAGCATGCGGAATTGATTGCTATTCAGTGAGTGAGGTGCTAATTATGGCTTGCCACTATGCACAGGTATATATTACTACCAGTGGCATTCAACAGCTCAGCATGTAGACATTTAATGGCATTTATCAAACAATCTGCACCTTTAGGAGAGAGATCAAAAACCCACCTGTTTGCTGAAGCTTGGCTCAGACCACGCCCAAGCCACATTTCAAGTACTCATCGGTCTATGGCTACCAAATTGGTTGGTGCATATATGCTAAAATATTTCCATGGGCACAAAAATATTCTATTGAACAGACCTGATAATAGATGGCTTTTACTCTCTAGTGCTCAGATTTGTTCATGCATTTTTCCATTAATCCAGTAGACACTAAGAGTCTGCAGAGCTCTTTAAGAGAGGCGAACAACTCAAACATGTGCTACCAACAGTACTAAAGAATTTTTTTTCACAAGTAGTTGGAGGTAAAATTTAATGATGGTGTAATACATGCCTGGAGTATGATATGAGCGCAATAAAAAAAATTGTTGGATGAAAGAAAGAAGGAACCTTAGGCTATAAAGAAGAAAGCTCCGGCTTTCCCAAATAAGGGGTGCACACACAAATACACTCCCTCGCTTTCCACACCTTCTTCTTGTAACTAGTAACAACTTAGAAATCACTTTTTTTGGTTGTTATTTGTTGTTTTGTTTTCAAGACAGGGTCTCACTGTATAGCCTCGGCTGTCCTGGAACTCACAGAGATCCACCAACCACTGCCTCCCCAGTGCTGTGATTAAAGGCATGCACCACCACTGCCAGGCTAGAAATCTGTTCTTAACACTCCACGTCTGGGTTAAATGTCTCATATATTCCCTGAAGTGCTTCGTTCTTTCTCTCCCTTAAAAAAAAAGAAAAGAAAAAACATCTAACTAAATTTAATTGCCTGTTTATCGCCAGACTTCAAGCTTCGTAATATTAGGACTATGCCTAGCAGTGTCTGGCACATGGTAGGTGCTTTATATTTTTGAATGAGTGAGAGAATCTCATACTCCACAGCTTTTATAGCTGGTTGTACTTTCCTGTTACAATTGTGACCTGACCTGACCTGTACCGTTTGTCATCACAAACCACATTGGCAATTGAAATCTTTCAGATAGCAAATACTTACTAAGCACTTCGAGTGAACCTGACATAGAACTAGAATCGAGCAGAGAACAAAACAGAAATAGTTGCTGTCTTGTGGGGAGTATCCTTTAATGAGCATGAGACTTTAAAGCAAAACGTAAACCAATGATTCCGTGAATACAAACTATGTAAAACCACCTTCATGCCTCCAAGTTTATTATTTCCTATTTAAATGACTAAAATCTATCTTTCTAAAGAGGACTAGGGTTAAGTGCTTGCTTAGCATGTGCACGGTCCAGGTTTGATCCCTAGCTCCACAAAAGAGAGCAACAGCCATTGGGATTCCACTCATTCAACAACATTCATCTAGCATCCTTTATGTACATGACATGCTCATGCTGGAGAGACACTTAAACAAGATAGCGTTGTATCTTTCATGGAGAGTAGCAACTAAAAGAGAAAGGCAGACATCAAACCAGCAGGCGCAACGAGAGCCCACTCAGAGGCTTTAAGCAGCAGGGAAAGAATGTGGTCCTGTTTATGTGTTACTCGAAGATCATTCTGAAGAAGAATGGAAAAGTGTAATAGTGAAAACAGGAAGCTACTACTGTTGTCCGGAAGTGATGGTGTCTTTGACTGTGGAAACATCCATTAAGAAGGAGAAAGAAATTAAGAAAATAAAGTTTGGAGAGTGGAGGAAGCCCTGAGTGAATGAAGTCCTGAAGCGAATGTGTGTTGTTGACATGGGCATGGTCACATCGAGGACTTCAATGCCTCAGCCCCACAGAAAATGTCAAAGCCTCCCTCCCCCAAGCCTGAGGCTTAAAGACATTGTTAAGATCCTGTTCATGCGCTGCTTGGGGTCTTGCGTTTTACGTCATCAAGGGGTACTAGCGACTACATGGTCATGCAATCTGCGCCTTAAAAAGCTGGACACAGCACTGGGCGGTGGTGGTGCACGCCTTTAATCCCAGCACTCAGGAGGCAGAGGCAGGTGGATCTTTGTGAGTTCGAGGCCAGCCTGGTCTACAGAGCGAGATCCAGGAAAGGCGCAAAGCTACACAGAGAAACCCTGTCTTGGGGGGAAAAAAAGGGGGGGTTGGGGATTTAGCTCAGTGGTAGAGACCTTGCCTAGCAAGCTCAAGGCCCTGGGTTCAGTCCTCAGCTCTGGAAAAAAAAAAAAAAAAAAGCTGGACACAGACCCCCACCCTCTCTCTCTCTGCTCTCTGCTCTCTCTCTGTTCCCTCTCTGCTTCCTGCTCTCTGCTCAGCTCCCACCATCTCTCCCTCCCCCCAGGCCTGGCTCTCCTCCCTCCTATCCCCTCCTTCCTTCTAATAAAGCTCTTTGTAACTCTGGTAGTCGTGGCCGTGGCCCGTGACTTTTCCGCTAGTAACCAGCTCCGCCACCAGCGCTGTTTACCTATCAGACATGACAAAGCTTTCCTGTGATGCATGTGCTTAAGACATCCATCATAACTTTCTCCCCTAGACATTTACAGTCTGAAGACTGCTTCCCTGCAGAGACTGTACCTACCAAGATCAGCTAAATCTGCCTCCTTGTTTAGCTGTGCATAATAAGCCTGCCTCCTTGTTTATCTATCTGTAATAAACATGCTGAGCTACCAGGATGCTTCAGAGGAGCCCAGTCCACCCAATCCCAGCTTTTTTTATATATATATGTGTGTCTGTGTGTTTATCTTTTCTTCATTCCCTGGCTACCCCAGGTCTAGCCAAGTTTTTGGGAACAAAGTAAAGACTCGCAATAAAAGAGTTAGAGAGATGGCACAATGATTAAGAGCACTTGCTACTCTTTTATTTATTTATTTTTGGTTTTGTTTGTTCATTTATTTTTTTTGTACAGGGTTCCTCTGTGTAGCCTTGGCTGTCCTGGAACTCGTTCTGTAAACCAGGCTGGCCTCGAACTCATAGAGCTCCTCCTGCCTCTACCTCCTGAGTACTGGGATTAAAGGCATGTGCCACACCACCTGACTTTATTTTTTTTATTTTTTTGAAACAGGATTTCACTATGTAGTCCTGGCTCTCCTGGAGCTCAGTATATAGACCAGGCTGGCCTCAGACTCAGAGACCATCCTGCTTCTGTGCTGGAATTAAAGGTCTTCCCCACAACCATGAGACTTTGGGGACACGGTTCGAAGAAAGAGCATTTGCTATGCTTGCATAGCGCCAGGAGCCAGTTCCCAGCCCTTACATGATTGCTCACAACTACCTGTAACTCCAGTTCCAGGGGATCTAACACCCTCTTCTGGTCCCCGAGGGCACCAGGCATGCACATGGTACACAGACATATATACAGACAAACACTTATACATATCAAATTTTTAAAAATTAAAGAAAATTAAAATGTTAGTGAGTAGTACTATGACTTTTTGATTGGGGAGTATTGATTAGACCATGTGGCCTACCTTCTATCAGTAAATGTAATTAGGAAGGTAGCACTGTGGGTAAGAGCTCCAGCTATAATTCCAACAGATCAATGTCATCATTTCCCGAGTGATCTCAGGGAATTCAACAAACTACTCTTTAAAGATAATAATAGCATGTACCTCATCAGATTGCTATGAAGATGAAAGGGGGGATGTGTGTATGGACCCTGTTTCTGTACGCACGTGTGTCTGTAAACATTTTTAAATGTTAGCTATGTATGGCATTAGGAAAATGAGTCTAAAGACATTAGCCCGATTTAATGGGGAAAAGCTTTACCTGTGCTCCTAAGAATCTCTGTCCCCCAGCTTAATTGAGCTTATGATCTCATAATTGTGTGGCATGCCTTTTCCGAGTGCCAAATCATATAATGCTCATACTTCAAAACTCAGAATAGAACTCAGTTTCTCTCTGTTTTTCCTACCTAAACTTGCCCCATCGCTTAGGTCATTCAATTTAGTACATTTTCTAAAGTAGGATTCATAAGGCTATAATTAATTTTGACTTGTCTTTGAGTCCTTCCGTGTTATTTTTTTATGCCTATTTACCTAACTTCCCTAGATTGTGAGGAAAAGATTGTAGGCATTATTTTTTTTTCCCCGAGACAGGGTTTCTCTGTGTAGCTTTGTGCCTTTCCTGGAACTCACTTTGTAGACCAGGCTGGCCTCGAACTCACAGAGATCCTCCTGGCTCTGCCTCCCGAGTGCTGGGATTAAAGGAGTGTGCCACCACCGCCCGGCAATTGTAGGCATATTTCAGGATAGCTGCCCAGGCACATGGTACTCAATGAGTATTTCATGGTTAGACAGATTTTTTTGTTTTTTGGTTGTTTTTTTGTTTGTTTGTTTGTTTGTTTGTTTTTCGAGACAGGGTTTCTCTGTGTAGTTTTGGTGCCTGTCCTGGATCTTGCTCTGTAGTCCAGGCTGGCCTCGAACTCACAGATATCTACCTGGCTCTGCCTCCCGAGTGCTGGGATTAAAGGCGTGCGCCACTGCCGCCTGTCGAGACAGCTTTAATTTTTATTTGGTGTTCTTCTCTTAGATTCATGTTCTACCTTCACCTTTACACTTCTCCAATTTTTTTTTTTTTTTACACTGGCTTCACTAGGCAACCCAGGCCGGCCTCCAGATTACCTCGCAGCCAAGGCTTGCCAAGAAGGCATGATTCTACAGCGTCCACTTCCCAGGGGCTAGGATCACAGGTGTGAATCATCACACAAAACTGAACATTTTTTCCCCCATGATCCAAGCTATAACAAGAAAAATAAAGAGAAGGAAGAATAATCCTTTTAGGACATTCAAGCTTAGTTGATGACAACATTGTTCTGTTTGCAACTTCCAACACAGTTCATGAGTCAGCTGAGGTTGGGGGTGTGTACAGTGGTTACTTTTATGGGCTTTGGAATCAGGTGCCAAGGTCTGAATTGAGGTTTGTCTATCTCTGTGACTTTAGGCAAGTTCCTTCAACCTAGGACCTCTGAGGACTCAATATAAAATGTAGATAATGATCAGACTTACTTCCTCAGGTTGCTGAGAGAATATGAGCTCGTGCCATACAGGGGAAATATTTACCAGTGTCTGGTACATAGTTAAATGCTCAAGAAATATGGAGGAAGCAAGCAAGCAAGAACAGTAAATACTACGGAAAGCCAGTGTCATCACTTACAGGAAACTCTAGACCTGATTGCCACAATCTGGGGACAGTCATTAAGTTAATGGAGACTGTGTCTTATTTTAGACAAATGCAACTGAATTAGGGAAATTATCATTCCCAAGTACAAAATGTTTGAAAATCTTGTCTACATTTCTTTTAAAGCAGTGATATCTGTAACTCCTAGGAACTAGACACCACCAGTCACTTATGCAATGATTCCAGACTCAGCATCCGCAAGGTGAGGCTGCCATCTTAAACATTCCATAGAGCACTGAGAGCTATGTCATGGACTTATAAGGGCAATGTGACACCTGAGTCACTAAACACTGCTTTTGAGCCAGATGTGGTGGTCCAGCAGGCCTGTCATCTAGTAGGAAAGGCAGGGGCAGGAAATGGAGAGTTCCAGGCCAGTCTCAGCTACAATGCTAAGACTCAGCGTTAAAACAAAGAAAAATCAGTGCCTGGTGACAGGTTTATAATCTCAACTACTCAGAAAGCCGAGGAAGGAGAATCGCAAATCCAAGGCCTGCCTGGGCTACACATCAAGTTCAGAACAGTCTAGGCAACATCGTAAGAACTTGACTTAAAATTTAAAGTTTTGAAATGGTGTCAGATGTATTTCATGAGCGGTGAGTCCCTAGTTCTATCTCCAAGACAGGGAAGAAAGAAAAAAAAAAAGCCAAAAAACCCAAACCTCTCGCCACCTAACAAATTACCCTAAACCCTAGTGGTAACAAACCATTCATTATCTCCCAGAGTTCCTGTGGGTCGGGAATTTGTACACCTTGCTAGTTTGAGTGCTTTCATGAGTACAGTCAGGTGGTGATGAGAAACACAGTTGGAGCAGGAGAGCAGTGGGTTTGTTGTTTGGTTTATTTTTTAGACAGAGTCTTGGTATATAACTCAGGCTAGCCCAGCACTTTCATTTCTCCTCCCTCAACTTTCAGAGTGCCAGGAACAGGCATTTGCCACCATGCCTCTACCTTACAAGCCATTCTTTAAACCTATTTTTCCCCATTCCAAGCCAGTTTCTCAGGCCAAACACTTTGGTGCCAATCTTGACTCATATATGTCTTTTATACCCAAATTAATCTGTCATCGAAACAAATTGACTTTATTTTCAAAGTACATCCAAAGTCCAACTGCTCACCATTCACCTAGTCTAAACTTCCATTCTCTCCTCTTGCTGGCTTCCCTACCCCAACTTCTGCCCACCTCTCTAGTCTGACAGACATGAAGCAGTCACAGTGACCCCATTTTTAAAAAAGATTTTATCCATGTATTTTGATTGTGATATGTGTGTATATAAGAGTCTTTACTGGCTGAGCCATCTGGATAGCCCAGGATTCCTTTTCAGTTTGGTTGGTTTTTCATTTGTTTGTTAAGATTAAATAATGTTTATTTATTTGTATGTGTGTGTAAGTCTGTGTGCATGTATGCTTCGTGTGTGTGTGTGTGTGTGTGTGTGTGTGTGTGTGTGTGCCCATGGAGGCCAGAAGAGGCAGTCTAGTTCCCTGAGCTGGTGTTATAAGCAGTAGTGAGCTGCTCAATGTAGGTGCTGGGAACAGGATCTGAGTCCTCTGAAAGAGGGTGTCACATCCCCTGGAGCTGGAGTTATAAGCAATGTGAACCATCTAATATAGGTGCTGGGAACAGAACCTGGGTTCTCTGGAAGAGCAGCAAGCACTTTTAACTACTGAGTCATCTCTCAGATCCACCTTGTCATCCTTATCTATCACTCCAGTCAAGGTAAAAAAAAAGGTTGCACTACCAAATGGTTGCACCTCCCATTTAGTCTCCACTTTTAAAATCATGTTATTTTCAAATATTATATGAATAGAAACAGAAAGTATATAAATTTTGGAGACAGGATTTCTCTGTGTAACAGGCCTGGCTGTCCTGGAACTATTTTATAGACGAGGCTGGCCTCACACTCACAGAGATCTGCCTGCCTCTGCCTCCCAAGTGCTGGGATTAAAGGCATGCACTACCACCACCTGGCGACAGTTTTAGTTTTCAAGAAAGTGTCTATCTGCTTTTCAGAAAGGCTCTGCCATATTACATCTCCATCAGCAAGGTGTGAATGGTCTAATTCTTCTCTGTACCTACTATATCATTCAGTATTATACATTCACATACACAAACATAAATATGTATGTATATATATTCTAAAATGTATATATTTTTTAAAATTTTGAACCCCTTAAAACAGAGTTCTCTCAGGGAAACATACCTGTTTTCAGAATAAAGACACTATTCAAGTTGACTCATTATTTGTCTACCAAATCACCTTGCGTTTACACAACTAAGATTCCAGCCACCCTTATTAAAATGACTTTTTTTTCTGAGTCACATGAGTTGATCCAGGTGACCCAGACTCAGAACAAACTGAAACTTGAATTTCTTTTAATGAATTGCATATACGAGTTCTGCATTTATATCGTTTCTCCTCCCCTTTCCTTTTTCAACACCCTCCCCATGATGCTTCCCCTCTCTCAAATTCATGGCCACTTTTTATTGTTGTGGTTTTGTTGTTTTTGAGACAGGGTTTTTCTGTGTGGCCTTGGCTGTCCTGGAACTCTCTCTGTAGACCAGGCTGGCCTCTGCCTCCCAAGTGCTGGGATTAAAGGCATGTGCCACCACACCCGGCTCCAATCTTACTGTCTTTACCCAAGAATAGTAGCTAATGGATGATAGTGTGTTCAATACACAGAATACACAATGTTGAATGAATTTTGAAGTAACCACATAGCTTGGATTATAATGTTTGTTATCAAGATAATTTCATGACAGTTAAAGGTATGAGCTCTGGAGTAAAAGGGGCATAGTTGAGGATGGATCCTTGTGTTCATTATTTTGTAGACTTTCTGGGTTTCAGTTTTCTTGCCTGTGACAAATGCTTATGTATTTAGGGGTGTTTAGGGGTAGTGCGAGAATGAGAGATTATAACAGTGTACTGAAACAGTGTACTTATCACAGGGTGGGTACAGAGTATGGGACTTGCTTCTAGAAGTTCCTATTTGTCACTGTCTCTTCTTCTCTGGTACTGGGGATTGAACCCAGGGCCTTATATATAGGTAAGTGTTCTACTGAGCTATACTGCCCACCTACAAATGTAAGAATGGATATAACTTCAAATTTTCCTTTGTCTCTGGCATGTGGAAAGCAGCACTAATTATGCATCTGCATGTTGAATTAATATATGTATATACTGTAGTCAAGGTAGCCTAGTAACTGCATGCCTGGAGTAAATGCACCATCCATTCATGAATTGCAGGTGAGTCAGTTCTTTATACACAATACATGCTACCAAATAAAATCAATGGAAAAATTCTGGCTCATAGCGCCTGAATATATCTAAACCATCTGGCAAATTCAGTGAGCCAAGCATGGAGGTGGAATTGAATACATTGGTTGGACAGACTTACTCCTGTGAAAGCAACTGTTCTTTTTTTAAACAAAAAACATAGAAAAAACAATGCAAAACACCCCCTTAAAACCCCATTTGTTTACTTGTGTGTGTGTGTGTGTGTGTGTGTGTGTGTGTGTGTGTGTGTGTACATGAGCATGCTCCATTGTGTGCAGTGGAGGTCAGAAGAGTCTTGTAGGAGCTGTTTCTCTCCATGTGGATCCCAGGGATGGAACTCAGGTTGTCAGACTTGGCAGCAAGCACCTTTACCTGCTGAGCTGCCTCACCTGACCAAACCAATTCTGTTATACATGGTACTTATCCAAGAGACGGTTTGCTATGTTCAAGAAGTGGTTCTAGTGTTTATAAATCTTCACACACACACACACACACACACACACACACACACACACACACAGAGAGAGAGAGAGAGAGAGAGAGAGAGAGAGAGAGAGACACCAGGTATATATACATGTATCAAATGCCTAAATTAACCAAAGTGATTATGATAACACTGAAGTAGAGAAAAGGAGAAAAGTTAGGCAGAGGCAGGCGGATCTCCTTGAGTTTGAGGCCAGCCTGATCTACAAAGAGAGTTCCAGGACAGCCAGGGCTACAAAGAGAAACCCTGTCTCAAAAAACCAAATAAACAAAGAAATAAATAAAAATAAAGGGCTTGAAGTTTTTAAAAAAAAGATATTAGGTTGTAAATTTGGTCAATAAATACACTAAACATTTTGTTGTTGTTTTCAAAACAGGGTTTCCCCGTGCATCTCTGGCTGTCCTAGAATTCACTCTGTAGACCAGGCTGGCCTCGAACTCACAGAGATCCTCCTTCCCTTGCCATCCAAGTGCTGGGATTAAAGGCATGTATCACCACGCCCAGCTTTTGTGTTTGGTTTTTAGAAAAAGATTGATTCATTTTTATTTTATGTGCATGTGTGCATGCCTGAAACGCTGTATGTGCACCAGAAAACGATGTCACGTCCACTGGAACTGGAGTTACAGGCAGCTGTGAGCCACCAGCATGGGTGCTAGGAGTGCCCCTTGGTCCTGTGGAAGAGCAGCGAGAACTCTTCCACTCTTAACTGCTGTATACTCTTATGGTTTTTGTGTTGTTGCTTTTTTTTTCTTTTTTTTTTTTCAGACAGAATCTCTCTATGAAGTTCTGATTATCCTGGAACTCCCTACATAGACTGGGCTGGCTTCAAATAACAGAGATACACCTGCTTCTGCTTTCCAAGTGCTGGGGTTAAAAGTACGTGTCACTACACATAGTTTGTTGTTTGGTTTTGAGACAGGGTGTTATTATGTAGCCCAACATGGAACTGACCTGAGACTCATCACTATTCCATCTCTGCCTCTAAGTGGTGGGGTTATAGACATGAACCACCATACCTTGCTCGTACCTTGCTTATACTGTCAAGACATACAGTTAGAATTAGGCCTGATCAAGTCACTCTTTAAATATTATTTATTTGCTTATTTCTTTTCTTTTCTTTCTTTCTTTCTTTTTTTTTTTTTTTTTTTTTTGAGGCAAGGTTTCAGGCAGCCCACCCTGGTCACCAATTCACTAGGTAGCTGACACTGGCCTTGAACTGCCAATCCTTCCTCCTCTACCTCACAAGCGTGAGTGTGAGTGTGTAAGCGTGAGTCTTTAAAGCTTGTGTCGTTTTTTTGAGGGTAACACTGTCATTGCTGAAGTGAAAGAAAAACATGAGGAGGGATTAAAGGGGGAGAAGGGAAGAGGGAAGAGGGGGCGGCGGGGTGTGGGAGGGCTCTGGGCTGCCGTCAGAACTTCTGGGGGCTGCTTCTGCACCTCGTATAGAGCTGTGAGAAACCAACTCATCTCTCTGGGCCTTCCCTCTCCTCGGTAAATAGGCCTCCCATTTTGTTTCTCCTAATAAGGGGTATGCAAATGGAGGCCAGGAAGCCAAACTCGCTGCCGGCACCTGACTTCTGCACCTGTGCGATTACAGTGCCATTGACATTTTTAAGTGATTGAAAAAAAATGAAAAGAATAATATTTTATGAAATAGAATCAGCCTAGATGTCCATGAACAGGCGAACGGATAATGAAAATGGGCTACATACTCACGATGGGATTTTATTCAGCTGTAAAGACAAATAAAATTATGAAATTTGCAGGAAAATGGATGGGTCTGTGCATTATTATATTAAGTGAGGTAACCGAGTTCTGAAAGATAAATATTGCATGTTTTCTCTCATTTTCAGAGCCTAGCTTTTAATATTTACATACATGGGCGTGAGTGAGGTCCTGACACCAGAAAGGGGGTCATAAAATGGAGGAAAGCCACATTGAGGAAAGGGTGAGGGTAAACGAACACTTGTGAAACTCCTCGTGTGACATGAGAGACTTACTAGGGGTAGAAGAGTAAAGGGACAGGCTGGAGGAATGGGGGGGAAGAGAGAAGAAGGTGGAGTAACAAAAACAAACTAAAAATGAAATAATGATAATAACATTGGGTGCATTTTTCTTTTCAGAGGCTGGAGAATAGAGATGAGTCTCAGGCCAGTTCCAAGACCCTGTCTCAAAAGCCAAGAAAAATAATACCTTATGATACAAAAACTTGGAATTGACAGTTTTATTCATTAAAAATTTCAGGCTTCTGGAACACAGCCACGATCACTTGTTTACGTATCATCTATGGCCAGATTCATGCCAACTCATTTCATGTTGAGTAGTTGCCACATTTACCTCAAAGTTCACATAACCAGAAATGTTTACCATCATCTGGCTCCCTTTATAGAGAGCAAGCTAGTTCCCTATAAAGGTACCTGTTCTATGTACGGTATTTTTAGTACAACTGCTTATTTTGTGTTGATCCACCTCTTTTACGTGAGATATATGCTCATTAGGTATTTTACAAAATGTTATTATACTACATAACTCCACAAACTGTTCAGTTATCTAGAAGAGGGATTTCCCCTCTAATGGACTCCAATGCTTTAGTGTAAGTACATAAGAGGGTCTCCGTATTTGTTACTGAATCAACCTTTTAACACCAGGGACAAGCCACTAATTTAAGAACACCAACAGGAATTTCTCATCTAATAAAAACTCAGTAACCTATTCTTGGCAATTTCCAACTCTCCTTTGCCATTATTTATTTATTTGTTGGTTTGTTTTTTGAGACAGCCCCGCTTTGCTGTTATTTTTTAAATGATGTTTGCTGATCAAAATTCTCCCCGAAAAAAACAAAAAAAAAAACAAACGAGAGAGAGAGAGAGAGAGAGAGAGAGAGAGAGGAGAGAGAGAGAGAGAGAGAGAGAGAGAGAGAGAGAGATTTTTAGCGCCGGGTGTGGTAGTGCACGTTTTAATCCTAGTACTCAGAAGGCAGAGGTAGGTATCTGAGTTAGAGGCCAGTCTGGTCTACAGAGAGTTCCAGGACAGTCAGGGATATACAGAGAAACCCTGTCTCAAAACACACACACACACAGAGAAGAGGGAGGGAGGGGGAGAGAGAGAGAGAGAGAAAGAGAGAGAGAGAGAGAGGAGGGAGGGAGGGAGGGAGGGAGGGAGGGAGGGAGAGAGAGAGATTGATTCTGTGTAATTGAAGCTTAGCAGCAGTAAAACAAAACAAACAAACAAACAAACAAAAAACAACCAAAAAAAAAAACCCAAACAAAAACAGAAGCGTGAGCGCCGATCATCAAAATGAGTGTGTAATGAAGAAAAAAAAAATAGCAAGATCTTGCTTCTTTCCAATGTGTCCAACGTGAACGCATTGCACGTTGTGTTGCAGATTTACTACAGCTGAGTCATTTCGGGACACCGGAGTGAGTTTCCAGGGAAAAAAAACGAGCGGAAGGAACCAGGAAGAGGGGCTCTCCGGGTTCCCCCAGGCACTCCTAGCCGTAGACACCGGTATTCCGGGCGTGGGTGGCGGCGTGGTGAAAAGAGGCGCCGCGGACCCTTTAAGAGGCTCAGCACCTTCTCCAAGATACCATCTTGCACCGGGAGTTCACTGAACTCTCCACCTACCTTGCTAGGTCCCTCCGCCCTCACTGGATACGGCCGGCAGGCGGGGCGGGTGAGCCTTACGATTGGCCCATCGCGCGCGGCCCTCTCTCGCCTATTGGTAAGTGCGCCCGTCACTCCACGTTATCTCCCGCCCCCCGGAGCCTCCGGGCTAGGTTGAGTGGGGCTCTTGGGTTAGTTCCTGTTAGGCCCCGGCCCAGGGAGTAGGTGAAGTCTCTAAGATGCCCGGTGGGTCAGGGCACCCGGAGCTGTGAGGGAACGTGAGGCGGCGGCGAGCGGAGACCCGCGGCGGGCCTTAGGAGGAGCGGCGGCCGAGCCCGCCTTCCCTGCACCATGCTCATAGAGGATGTGGATGCCCTCAAGTCCTGGCTGGCCAAGTTACTGGAGCCGATGTGAGTGCGCCGGGCCGCGCCGGGCCGGCGGCATGGGCGTTGGGGACCCGCGGGGGCGTGGGGGAGGGGAGGCGGGAGCCCGGGCCGCCCGCCTCGTACTCGTCCAAGGTGGTGTGAGGTGTGTGTGTGGGGGGGAAAGGGGCCGGGCACGGGCGGCGGGGCTTCCCGAGTACACTGGGAGCCGGCCCGGGCTGCAGGCCGGCGGGAGACTGAAGGACGCCGACCTGGGAGCTGGGGGCGGGCGGCGCGGCTGTCGAGGGATTTTTAAATGTGAAAAGCTGAGGTATGGGACGGCGGAGCGGGCTGGAGGACTTTGCAAACAGTGTCCAGGAGCCCGGTGTCGAGGGCCTTCTCGGAAGAGAGGGGCCGAGAAGGGAGAGCAGGGGTCCTGGAGCTTAGTTGTAATTATGGGTGAGCTCCAAGGGGATGAGGATATTGAAGGGTTTGAAAGATGGAGTGCTGAAGTGCATATGGACGCATGGGAAGGGTTTTGATAAATTATCGGGGAGCTCATGAGTATGAGAGCAAGGATACTCAGGGATTTTAAGGTGTTCTTGAGGAGTTGGTGGTAGAATTGATTGTTTTTAGATACCATAGGATGTTGGGGGAAGAGTCGAGATTTGTATGTTGTATTGAGGCTTAAAAGAACTAGTGTATAGTATGGATGATGAGGTTGAAGCGGGTATAGTTGCAGCATCTTTTTTTTTTTTAAATTAAAGATACAGGTATTAGACGAATAAAAGGGGCACAAGAATAAGGACCTTGTAAACATTGTTGGAAGATGATAGGGCAACTGTAATTGGGGCGTAGGGTGACTGTTGAGGGGCAAGGAGAATGAGAGACCTGCCCTCTTAAGGTGTTTTGAGTAGTGTCAGTTGTGGAACTCTCTTTGAGAGGCTTGACAGGGACAGCAGAGGCGTCAACTACTTGTTTTAAGAAAGTAGAGTGTCTGGAGATACTCGGATGTAGCTAGTCTCTGGCACAGCCTTGTGGGGAGGAAAGGATGGAAGGCAGGAGAGAGTCTAGCCGACTCTTTGAAGAGAGCATGGGAAACGGAATGGGAGGGAAAGAAGCATTTCCTGCGCTCTCGCTCTCTGTCTCTCTCTGTCTCTGTCTCTCTCTCTGTGTCTCTTTCTGTCTCTCTCTGTCTCTGTCTCTCTCTCTCTGTCTCTGTTTATTTGCCTTCTAATTACCCCCCCTCCCCGGATGGTTCGAGGAGAAAGGCCGGCCTTGATTCATGAAATCAGATTACTCTAGTTAAAAAAGAAAAGAAAAAGGTGTTTTTCAGGGGATGGAAATGGGAAGTAGTCCCAGAGGTGTGGAGGTATGATAAAGTTGAGACTATTGGGGAGACATTGTCATGCTTGCTTTCCTGTTCATCTATTATTCCCCCCCCCCCCCACAAGATACTTGGTTAACTAACTTTTTGTTTTTGTTTTGCTACTTTGTTTTTGGAGGGGTGGGGGATGGGAAGGTACCTCAGGAGGAGGGTCATCTGCGGAGGCAGGATGGTCAAGGAGGCTGTCTGAAGTGATACTTGCATTCTGAGAGTGAATGAGTAGAGCATAGGTATAAATGAATGACTGAGTAAATAAGCATGCAGTAAGGACTTCTCAGGTTTAGATGAATGGTAGTCCAGTTAGAATGAAATTGACTTCTGGGCATACTGGAAAGTTTGGTAGAAGAATATTTACATCCTTTTTCTACATTGGAACGTTTTAGAGCTCTAAGATGGAAAAGGATTGTGGTGTGCAATTTGGAAATAAGATAGAACTAGGTAAATTTACCATATGTGAGGAGAACTAAAAACAGGGGAAAAGTGTATGTTTTTAAAAATCATTTGTATTTTTCTTAACACTGGAAAGAGTCTGTGCTGAACACCTGCTGTCCTGTTGTCTTTTCTTGCATTGTAGAATATTGAACCCAGGGCCAGACCAGTGCTTTACTGAATTACAGTCCCAGCCATCCCACCTTCTTTTTTTTCCTCTTCAATTTTCCCTGGTATAAGCTCTCATCCTGTTGGTTAGTAGAGCTCTTTACTATCTTTTAAAATTTAATCTTTCAAAAGTATTAAATGTATGTTCTGTGTATTGGGTAGATAGTAACAACTTTTAGCATTATAGTTCCTTTTATTTAGTTTTTTTGAAGCACCCTAAAATGTTTTACTAGATAGTGAAGGTACTAGCTAGTACTTTTCTTTCTTTTTATTTTTTCATTTTTTATTATTTTTTATTTTTCAGGACAGGGTTTCTCTGCATAGCCCTGGCTGTCCTGGAACTCACTCTGTAGACCAGGCTGGTCTCCAACTTACAGAGGTCTGCCTGCCTCTGCCTACTGAGTGCTGGGGTTAAAGGCCTGCACTACCACTCACCAGCTCTTTTCTTTTCTCTTAAGGTAAAATCTAGTGTAGGAATGTCATCTTTCTTACTAATAATGTTTTTGTTGGGGTGATTTTTTTTTCTGGACTGACAATTTTAATTATCCTGTAATCTTGAATGAAAATTACATTTTAAAATGAATGTTTGAGAGATGGTTCAGTGGTTAAGAGTATTTGCTAGGCCGGGTGGTGGTGGAGCACATGCCTTTAATCCCAGCACTCTGGAGGCAGAGCCAGGTGGATCTCTGTGAGTTCAAGACCAACCTGGTCTACAGAGAGAGATCCAGGATGGGCACCAAAACTACACAGAGAAACCCTGTCTCGGAAAAACAAAAACAAACAAACAAAAAAAGAGTATTTGCTGCTCTTCCAAAGGACCTGAGTTTGGTTTCTAGAACTCATGTAAAGTGGTTCAGTCTGTAACTCGGGCTCCAGGGGATTTAACATCTTTGGCATCTGGGGGCACCTGCACTCACATGTACATACCAAAATGCAGACATACACCTACAAATAATTAAGAACAGAATAAGAATAAATCTTCAAAAAAGTAAATGAATACTTGAAAGCTAGGCATGGCATTGTACACTTGCAGTCCAGCACTCTGGAGGCTGAAGCAAGAGGACTGCCATGATTCCTAGGCCAGCCTGGCCTGCATAGTGAGTTCCAGCCTAGCTAGCACTGTGTAATGAAGACCTTGTCTCAAAAGAAGAAAAACAACCAACCAAACAAGATTGCTTGATTTTAGTGTTAAAACTTGTGTTGATTTTCAAGTCAAATTGAAACACACAGCATTCTTTGTTTTTGTTTTGAGACAGTATTTTCCCATGTAGCTTGTAGCTCAGGCTGGCCTGATAGTGCTTTTGTAGCCTACACTGGCCTCAAACTTCTGACAATCTACTTGCCTTGGCCTCCTAAGTGCTGGGATTAAAGTTACTCATTGAAGATTAGAAAAGAAAAAGACTTAAGCTGGCGTTATATGCTAAGCCATATAGCATATACTTCCTAATGTATGCTAAACCCTGAGTTTGGTCTCCAGCATACAGACATAAGCTAAGTAAGAAAAAAGACTTAACATCACTAATTAGACTAACAATGTGTCTTTCCTATGAAAGTTTAATTTTTAACTTATAGTATTGGTTTTAGAAAGAGATGTTGATAAAAAACAGTAAGTGCAAATGTCATATAGATCTTCATTCCTGGTACACTGTCATGGCAGATTACTTTTTGTTTAGATATTCTAAAAACATAATAAGTATATGCTAATGTGGGTTGTGTTTGTAAATTTACTTATTTCATATTCTAGATTCAAGAACACTTTTCATGGCAGATTGACATGTTATTACAACATAGTATTTCAGAGCAGTTGTCAGGTTTTGAGATAATGTAGTTGCAGTGGTTAGGTTGGAATCAAGCTATGGCTGAGCACATGAGTTCTATTGTACTTTCTTAAAAGGTTTTATTTTTATTTTATTGTATGGGTGTTTTGCCTCCATGCATATCTGTGCACTTTGTTTGTGCTTGTGCTCATATATGCCAGAGAAGTATTAGGTCTCCTAGAATTGGAGATAGAGATGGTTGTGAGCCATTTAGGGTCCGGTAGAAGAGCAGCCAGTGTTCTTAACGGGTGAGCCATCTTTCCAGCCCTGGAAGGAATAACCCTTTACCTCCCTTAGCTTTCTGGGAAAGACCATTACCACCATTTTTGATGGCAGTACACTAAAAGGGGAGGAAACTAGGTAAAGAATTAAAGACAGACTAGACCAACAAATCTTGGGCCCTTATTTTTCTTAAAAAGAATCATAGACATCCTTGTGAGAGATACCATATAGGCATTATGTATAAATTATGATGTTGTGGCATCATTTTATCAGAAATCACTACTCATTTTAAGAAATTAATTTGTGTGTGTGTGTGTGTGTGTGTGTGTGTGTGTGTGTGTGTGTGTGTGTGTGTGTTTCTACATGTGGAAATCAGAGGACAACTTGTAGGAGTCCATTCTCTCCTACCATGTGGGTTCCAGGGATCCAGTTCAGGTTATCATGTCTGTTGGTGGGTGTCTTTATCTGCTGACCTATCTCTCTGGGGCCAAGACAAGCATTTTTATTTAACAGACCTGCATTTCTACCAAAATAAATAAGATTTAACTTTTTTTCTTTTACAATACTAAGATTTGAACCCCGGGAACGGCAAGTACTCTACCACTGAGCTCTCTGAAGGGAAATTTTAAACATTTGTTGCTTCTTGTTTGACTTATTGTAAAAGTTTGTCTTAGTATGTTTCCCTCTCCCCCTTGTTGTGTTTTTTTTTTTTGGACAGATCTTACTATATAGCACATACTGGCCTGGATTTCACTGTTGTTCAGAGTGGCCTTCAATTCACTCACAATCCTGCTGAATTCTAAGTGTTTTGATTACAGGTTGTGTGCCATTGGTGTGTGTTTTTAAAAGACTGGTGAGGTTTGTAAACTTCTTAGACAGTTGCTTCTGTCTGTGTATTATAATGGAACATTGTGTGAATCAGGGCAGTGAATTTCTACTTCTATATCTGTCTCTGATTCATTTTGATTTTGCAGAAATTATCTTTCTCCTCTTAAATATTAATGTTTTACCTACCTTACAAATAT